AACGCTGTAGCGTTGAAATTTTCACTTTACGGACGCTCTATTGAACGTTTTTATTCTCAACGAACTCTTGCAAACGTTTATTTAAACGTCCAAAAAAGTATTCTTATTTTTATCATCACTCAAACAAATAATCTTGCAGTTATAGCGACAATTATCTAAGTAAGACAAATTAGCTAAAATAGACAAATTTCTAGCAAGTACCGCGATATTGAATATGTATTGCATCTAATCATATAGATGAGACAGGGATAGAATTTAGATTTGTGCTATAAATTCTATGCGTAAATTCTATGCGTAAATTCTATGATACATAACTTTTTATCAGATACAAAAAAACAGCAATAATTCTAGTTGGAGCAGCAAAATATTTTTTTACGTGCAGGAAATACGGTGGCAAAATTGTAATCCAGTTAGCAATTCAGTAAGAAAACAAGCATTGTGCCGCCGCGCCGGCTTAATTTGTAACGAAGATATGTTTTGAAAAATACATCGCAGATCAACAAGCAAATTATTTTATACCTGGTTATAATAACTACAAAATAATTTAAGTTATTTTGTGCCTTCCGGATTTAATATGTATGACTGACAAGCATACACAACGCTCCGTGTTTTTTCGTATCTATAGTGACGCATACGTACGCACTCCAACCTGTTCTGACACCGAATATATTGATTTCCAACAATTCCGTCCCGTATGGTTATAGTCAGTTGCCACAGCGGTATTTCATTAATTTGTACGAGCTTATTCAAGCTCATACAAATATAATTAATGAACATGTAATTATAGTTGAAATATATAGAGTAGGTAGTCCAACAGTGAACCAGTAGTACACTATGAACCATTGCGATATTTCGTAAATGCGACGTTATCAGATTGTGCTGCTATCATGCAGAGACTCGCATTTGAACCCTTCCTCGGCTCCCCAGTCGACCGGCAAATCACGCCAAGGATGCCATGTAATGTCACATTTTAAGATTTTGGGTTGCAAAGTAAATTTTTTTCATAAGTTTTATGTATTTTTTATGTTTTTGTTGTTATACCTATCATTTTTTTCATTGTGCAATAGTTTTGTGCACATTTGGCTCTATTATTCTGTAAGCAACTTTTTCTGTTACATTATTTTACCACATTATTTAGGAGATTATCGTAGGTGGTCTACAATGAATCATTTTGACGTAATAAACAATGAACTATGGTATATTGTAGACCACATAACCTTTTTTATGATAACCTTCAAACTAATAATCCATTGTAATAATTATTTAGAATATGGTCCCTCCCTCCACCTAAGATCTCAATAAAAATATATTCATTTGACGCGTTCACTCAAAACGAAAGAAAAACGCGGTGGTCGGCCTTATGAATCCTCGCCACCTTATAATTATCTATTTTATAAATAAACATTTTAAAATATAGCAAAACTAAAATAATTCCAACAATTCGCAGTATAAAACATGTAGTTCATTATTAAAAATAGCATAGTTCGTTGTGTAACACCTCTTGTACACAATGAACCATTTCTCATTTTTTAAAATAATCTAAATTGTGACTAAACTTCAGGGATAATTTAAAAGTTATTATTTACAGAATGTAGTCAACTAAATTCATAAACTGTATGCAAAAATTCAGATCTTTAATTCAATAATTGAGAGAAATACCAGCCTCTGAAATTTACATGGTTCATCGTCGGATCACTTACCCTAATGTATTTATTCTCTAAATCTGAATCAGTGGATAATCACTGATTACCCAATACTTAGCACTGGATAATCAATGTTCAACCAAAAAAGGAAGAAAGTTTGAGCATTATGTAATTAAAATACTGATATTTGCATGTTAATTTCAGTCTTGCAATACCATATTGAATTTATGCACTAAAAGAAGGTTAGGTTACATAATAAACCCTCTCCACCCTCACCCAGACCGGGAAGTCGGTTCACATTAAACAAGCACCCCGGGGAGTCCAAAATCCTACTTAGATCTCCCGGAGTGGATGTGCCGCCCGCGGGCGATAGACTCGAAATGAAAGCTGCACGTGCCAGGTGCCCCCTTCCAACTAAGAACCAGCGAAGGATACCGGCGAGGGTTTTAATGGGTGCGAGTCGGCCACCCGTTCCCGCGAGAGATGGTTTTTATCTCTTAGACTTTTTTGATAAAATCAATAGCTTTTGAGATAAAAAATGTTATTTTGAAAAATAACACCTTTATAATTTTTTTTCTCACAAATTGATCATCTAATCAGTATGAATAAAAAAATATTCGGCCAATCTTAAACTACAACGAGAATTTTATTTTATTTTGATCTATATACTGTTATTGATAGTGAAAACTTTATTATAAGGAAGCTTTGAGGGCGCGCCTTCCTGTGACGGAAAATCTCATTGTTCGGCTATAATATACTCTTGTTTGGTTTTAGATTTGAAATGTTGTTCGGTTTGTAGATGTTCTAGTAAATGCATAAATAAAGATGATAATAATAATAATAAAGATGATCTCAATGTGAATAAAAGAGCAATAAAAATATTTAAAATTTGTCCCAGTCGGAAATGACAATGGAATCGACATCAAATCAATGTCGATTTGACGTCGAAAATCATCAAATTTTACGTCGAAATCATCAAATTCGATGTTGAAATCATCAAATTCGATGTCAAATCGACGCTTCAAATAAGCGTTACGACCAGCCGCGATATCAGTTCACATTTCAACGTTGAAACCGTTCACGCGCCACAGACGCGCTTTCAGAGCTTCATTATGATAAAGTTTTCACTGTCAATAATACAGATCAGAATGAAATACAATCTTCAGAATAAAATAAAGTTATAGTTTAAGATTGGCTGAATATTTTCGTTTTTTTTTCATCTGATTGGATGATTAGTTTATGAGAAAAAAAATCATAGTCATTTTTCAAGTTTAGACATATTTTATCTCAAAAACTATTGAGTTTATTAAAAAAGTTTAACAGACAAACATGTTTATTTTGATTCAATTAAGTTTACAGAATTTTTTCGGAATTTTTATTTGAAGTTTAGATTTTTTTTACCAAAAAATTATTCTTAACTATTCAACGATCACGTAAAAAAAATTAAGTGTTTATAGATGTTTTCCGTAGAATAATATGGAGAACCGAATTAAGTCATTTCCAGCCATTAGAACGTTGGTTGATGCATTTTCTAAATAACTTTTTGGTAAATCGCTCGTCTAAATTATCAAGCCGAAATTCGAGCCGAATCGCGAGCATTTCGGCTAACTTTCATTGTTTTTTGCCAAGCCGCGATCTACAAACTGGACGCACCCTTAGATTTCGAAGTCAGGATGTTCTTCTCCAATCTGTTCCTCTCTTTCCTGGCACTTTACCTTTTATATTTATGTTATGTCATATTACTTCGTTTCTCAATTTATTAATAAAAAAACATCATTAAAACATTTTCTTATTAACTATTACTTATAATAATTACAATACATATATATATGTATATCCTAGTTAATGATGGATTAGCATAGGCGAACAAGGCATTTGCCTGGGGCGGCAAATTTTTGAAGACAGAAAATTTTCACATAGTTGAGATAAATTTTCAATTTGTTAATGTTCTTGCACGAGTTAATTTGTCTAATGTTCTTGCACGAGTTAGATTGAGCATATTCTATCAGAAACGATATTTTAAATATACAGTTAAAAATGTATTATATTTATATTACTTATTAAAGATTATTGAATGTTTTTACCAGCTAATGCGGGGGTATAAATCAGTTTTTTTATCCATTTTCCTCTTTATAAAATTTATAAATTAATGAAGACATCTGGGGAATGTTGATGTCTAGGGGCGGCAAAATACTTAATCCGTCGTGATCCTAGTATAACATATATATGTGCAAAAATACATTTCAGTCAAAATGACCGGTATACGTCTACTAATCCAATTAGCCTATTCGCGCGCCTATTCCCTAATATTAATAATCCTCACTTAATATTAATTCTTTTCTAAGACTTAAAAAAGGATTAAAAGTAAATTAAATCGAGTGAGTTATAATGTTAGTTGGTGAAGCGTTGGTGCCTCATGTTATGTTGAGACTCATGTTATGTTTGTCGACCTGCGATGTTTTCGTTGCAAATTACAGTATGGCTGACAAGAATACGCTCCCCTGTTTGATTCCTCTCGGTAACCACAGTGATGCTTATATACGTTTTCCGATCTGCTCTCACGCCCTCGAATATATCGATTTCCATCCCGTACGGTTACTGTATCCTGTTTACCACAGCAGGACCAGGCATATAGGGGAAGCTCGAGCAGCGTGGACGTGTTAAGGTTGAGAAGAAAAAATGATAAATTGTGGCAAAAGTAAAACTTTTTATGTATGTATGTACGTACATATATACATATATATACAAAAACATTATTACTTTTCACATTTTCGCCATAGGAAAAAGAGTTACATGATTGATACTCAGGTTGGAGAAAAACACACATCTTATGGCTTCGAAACCTAAGAAAATAGTTCCGAAGATCTTCTGCGTCCTTGTTCCACGACGCAAACATCATCAATAATTTCAAAACAAGTAAAACAAAATAACAGATAATTGAGAATTGGCGCTGTAGACGGTGCACAGTTTTTTTTCTATCGTCAATAATGATTGAGCCAACGTTCAGTAACTGAATATGGTACAAGAAGAAGATATAATATATTTTTATTTCAATTTCATCTTATGAAAAAAACATTTACATAAAAATAAAAAAAATATATATAATAATGTCACAATAAATTGAAAGCTGGAAAACGGAAAAATGCAAAATTACCGGAGCGTGATCACAGTCCGGGTGAAAAAGTTAATATGCGTTGACAGAAATGAAAATTATAATCAACAATGTCCTTTTCTAAATGTAATATTATTATTAAATATAATATTATTAATATGTTTTCGTCATGTTATTTTACATACGACATTCCGCATATTTCATGCTCAATAAAAATTTTTATTATACTTTGTTTCGCGTTATAGGTATTTAATCCGAAATTAACTGGATATTCTACCGGCACAGGAGAATTTATTTCGACCGCGGCGAAATTAAATATTGCCTTTCCAGTCGCTGCTACAGAAGACGCGTTGCAACAAGCGAAAATCCTGGTGCAGAGAATTAAAAATGATCCAAAGATAAACGTGAAAAAACATTGGAAGGTAATAATAATCTGATAATCTTTTTATCGCGACGTACGCTTATCAATGGAGAGAAACTTAAAGAAAAATGTCGTTTGATTTTAATTATTTGTATTTCCTTTATCAGCTTATTACGATCCTATTTGGAGCTAATGACATTTGTTCGGCGCAATGTTATGATCCGCAAAAATTCTCGCCGATACATTACATCCTACATTTACGAAGAACACTCGATTTTTTAAAAATCGCGTTGCCCCGCACGCTAGTCAATTTGGTTCCAGCCATAGGTAATAAATTAATTAATAATCAATAATAATAATAATATTTAATTATAATAATTTTGTAAGTACAAACAAAGAAAAATATATATTAATATTGCAATATTACTAAATTTTCTAATAGGCAAATGCGTTTTACAAATTATACACGAAAGAACAATTTTGCAAAAGGATCTTCTTTTGCATAATTTTATGGTGCAGTTCTTTATCAAATTTTCAGACAATTGTACCGAAATTGAAATTGACAAAGCAAAAGTCTATAGGCAGGCTCGATTGTAATGTAACTGCACACTCTCATTTTCACTCCACCCTTACCCATGTTTACCCATCTCACCCTTCTTCACTTCAACCCAGCATCCACGTCCATTCCATTATTTCTATCCCATCAGTATTACATGCGTCCGTTTGATGTCGTATGATGAATTTTTCAAGCGTGATTGCAAAACAGATAAAATCTCTTTGTCCTATAGTTAATCAACAAGCTTGAACATTTGTCATACGGCAAAAGAGGACGCGTGTAATATTAGCCTTAAGCCCTAAAGAGTATTCTATAATGCGTTGTAAACACCCATTGCCAGTTGAAACGTTTGTCGTGGTAGTCAATTGGAAGCGTTATTAGCAGGGTTGGATAAGTTAATTTTTTCTTTCTATTTTATGATTTCAGAGTCTTACAAATAACGGAAATGACAAACATATACTTCATTTAGAGAATATACTCTATATTTTATTTAAAAGATTGAAATCAATATATAATGTAAATAATATAAAAATACAAACAAAACTTTTAAGTAAAATATACAGTATGTTCTAAATGAAGTATATGTTTGAGTCTGAGACTTAACTTAAAAAAATTTAAATAAAAAGTTAATAGTTATTGATAAAATGTAACTAAATAAAGTTAAAAAGTTAAAAGTCTAAAATGTAACTAAGTTAAGTTAAAATTATTTAACTTTTCAACTTTTTAACTTAACTTTTAGCTTTTTAACTTGGCACTACCCAACCCTGGTTAATAGTATTATTTATGATAAAGACCAATCGTTCTATCGTCGCGGAATCCACTTATTGCCACAAAGATGGGAAAAATGTATAGCTAGCAAATATTTTGATTGATGTATTTTTTGCTTTTGATATCGAGATAAATGAGTTTTTTAAACAAAAAAAAACCGCGGAAACTAAGTTTAGTATACATACGAACACGGAATAAGACAATAGCGATAAATTTCCGACGAGTTGGAAGTCTATCGCCTTATAGCTTACTAATCAGCGTCCAGACTTTTCATTCTGTTTACATGTGCAATAACCTTGAAGCGAATGGAAAAATATACTACAGTCTATATACGAAATTAGATTGGTTGGCATTTTTTATTTCTTTCGCGGCATTGTGCAACAGGAGGCGACAATTATATATCGCTTATTTTTATTGCTATTCTTATCGCTGTTGCCTCGCATTGTGTTTAGGGAAAAGACATAGAGAATAGATTGCTCGATCGTATCTAAGTAGTATGGTCGACAAAAATGAGAGAGAGGGGCCATGAAAGACAGCCAATCTTTATTTCTTTCCACTCAACGATATAACGAGAGAGAGAATGAGAGGGAGATTGGCTGTTTTCCAGTCCCTCTCTCTCAGTTTTGTCGACCGTATTATTTAAATACGATCGAGCAGTCCATTCTCTATGGCTTTGTTTCAGGCCGTTACCCTATCATCCCCACCCTATCATCATTTCCCCTTCATACCTACTCCTACCTGTAATCTGCTCCCCCACTTCATACCCGCCAAGGATGGAGCGGTGGTAGAATAGATGAGGGTGGAACGGGATGAGAATGAATGTGTAACCTGTTATTTTGGTCTATTGATTTTTATTTTGACGATTGGTAGCGAGCTTGATTCCCGGGGATCCCCGGGTTGTTATTGTCATGAAAAAAATTTTATTTAAATTCCAACGAAATTTGTAAAATTACGATACGCATATATCCAGCAAAACTCCCGTTGTAATTTTACGGGTTTCGATGGAATTGTTTACAATTTTGGTATGTATCGTCATTCTTAACAAAAGGACCAGGCACTAATTAATCAGATTGGAAAAGTAGCCACCGTTAAAATAGGAATAACATGTGCGAAAGTATACTTTATGAGCTGATATGACAGTATAAAAATTAGCGGTTTTAGAAGGTTGATGTCATTGAGACTTTTGATCAGTACCTCATAAAGTATACTTTCGCACATGTTATTCCTATTTTAACCACTTTTCCATCTGATTAGTGCCTGGTCCTTTTTTATAAAAACAACTCGGGGATCCCTAGGAATCAAGCCCGCTACGCATCGTCAAAATAAAAATCAATAAACCAAAATAACAGGTTACTCGTCATTCTATTACTTGAATATACATATAACGGATCTTCGTAGACCTCGGAATTTTACTCGTCATCTTCGTCTTCGATCGCGACTCGATCCGGTACATGTAGAATTAGTATGATACGAATATAACATTTTATTATTTTAAAATTCATACGGAAAGAACGATTTTGTTAAAAAAATCTAATAATACCGGATCGAGTCGTGACCGAAGAGGAAGATAATGAGAAAAATTTATAATGAGAAAAATTCCGAGGTGTCCGAGGATTCGTTATACACTCAGGGAATAATTGCAGAATTGTTATCGAGGAATTCTGGCTGATTGAGCCGTTGTCGTGCGTGAACGTTTCCTTACTCCGTTTCATGTTTTCCTGATCCTTTGTACATTAGTCGGTTCTATATTTTCCTGATTTTATGTTATATCAAAGAGAAAGTTTTTCTCTTTAATTAAGGCTTTATTATTTTTACATGTCAGGTGTGCACGAGCGCAGTCCGGCGCGAGTATGTGTATACGTGTCCGCCAGATCGCAAGTTCGACCGTCGCTGATGTAACGTTTACAAGCCTTCGTAAAAAATATTAGGTAGCTTATTAACCATTATTGAACGTTTTAAATAATGGTTTTATTTAAAGTTTTAAGTAATGGATAATAAGATGCTTAATATTTTTTACGAAAGCTTGCAAACATTACATCAGCGGCGGTCGAACTCGTGATTTGATGAACACATACACACGCTAATAAAGTTTTGAAGCTTAAAATTTGATTTATGATATTTTTAATAAATTATCCTTTGTTTCAAGAACACTTTAAACTAAACTTATTTATAATATCGGTGACCAATAGGTAACAATGCAGATAAAAGAATTTTAAATGAATGAAAAAAATATGGTGCTTATATTTTTTTAAGGTTATATATTAATTGGTAATATTACTTTTGACTCTCCCGTGGGTACTTTCCCTAAAAAAGCTACGTCGCATTTGCGGGTCATCTTTGTGCCCTGAATCGATAAATACCAGACACAGAGACAATCCGTAAAATACATATACACACTGCGTAGCTTTTTTAATTAATAATATATTCATCATATATGTATATATAAATAATATATATAATAACATATAATATTATTACGTCCGTGCCGACACCGTAAATCGCCACTCGCATAGTACGCATGTTGTCCAGCGACACGTGCCGTTGTTATTAAACAAGATCGGCAGATTTGGACGTGAGCCGTCGCTGCGTTCGGACGTGCTCTCGACCCGCTAATCTATATCCTCGATCGTGTGCCCTGAGCTAGACGTGTATGTATTCTGTGTTTGCTAATAAACTCTTCTCGTTCTTTCCTATATCTTCGTGCTGTTTATTTCCTGCGAGCCGGGAGTGCGTGAACGCGTTTGCGAGGGCGTCTCCGCGACTCGGACACCCGGACGTAACAATATACATATAATATATTCATACTAAATTTTTATCTAATCGCATTTATTATTTTGCGGCAGATGTCACGGTTTCGGTTAGAGTAACGAAAAGTACCATGTGTAATATATTGCACCCTCTTTATTGCGCTTGCATGCATCAGGGTAGTCGACCAGAAATCGAAGCGTCGAAAATGTCATGGCTGTATCAGCAGGCAGCTGAAGCTTTAGTATTCTCAGGAAGGTATAATCGATGTTTAAGGGGTAACGCCACTCTAGAGCTTGAAAAAAGACGTGAAAATATGGAATTTAAAAAAAATAGTGCTTATCTAAAAAAAAAATTCATTTTCCGGTAAAAAAATTTCACCGTAAATTGTTTATAACAAAAGCAGTTGACAAAATATCAAAAAACCCCTACGTACTTCTGTAGTCAATCATATAAAGTTTTAAAAAAATTTTAGTTTTATGTTTCAAATTGAAAATTGTGGGAGAGAAATTTTTCCGTCCCTTCGGCGAAGGTGGTTTTGAGTTTCGTATCATGTAACCGCCGTTTTGTTTAAAAATGTTAATTAAAAAATTTTTTTATTTACTTTAGAACATGTATAATAAACTCCTATAAACAAATTTCCCATTTCCTTTATTGTATCTCCGTAAAAAATTATCAAAAACACATCTTTTTTCGAGCTCCAGAGTGGCGTTACCCCTTAATACGCAATTAAATGTGTCTTGTTTAATTAATAAAATTAGTTTAAAATTTTCAGAATTTATTATCAGAACTTATCATATCCTATATCCATGAGAAGTTTTTTCTATTATTTTCGATATTAGTTTTTTAAATTACGATACGTTATATTCATATTTATTTATGTTCATAAAATATATAGCTAAAAAATTTTAATAAACATACTGTTATTTCGTTTTACAGATATGACAACTCACCGGATTTCACGGTGGTGTTGCAGCCATTTATTAAATTATTTAACGCACCTAATGCAGATCCTAAGTGTGCTCCGCCGATCGACTCCAGTTTGGTCACATATGATTGTTTTCACTTTAGTCAGAAAGGACACGCACTCGGTAAGGCACGATTACCGTTCTCGTTTAAATGCATGATGTTATTTGATCGAAATAACAAATTAAACTGGATAATGTTACATAATGTGTGTTAAATATAATAGACATTATCTGCTATTTATTATATTTTCGATAAACGCTGTAGCAGATAATGTGTAACATTAATACATACACATTAATATATGCACAATACACACAAACAGGCGCACGCACAAACAAATTCTTTCGCCTAGCTCAGAGTAATCGTTATAACATCACGACGTTCTTTCCAATATGAACAGACGTACATCCGATATGACGTTTTCGATTGAAGTGCGTCCGTTGAATTGGAAAGGACATCATAAAGAAAGTGGTTACACCCTCGTCAAGCGAAGGATATTGCCTGATGCGTGCGTATGGGGATGTGTGTGTGTGTGTGTGTGTGTGTGTGTGTTAGTGTGTGTGTATGTGTGTGTGTGTGCGTGCGTGCGTGCGTGCGTGCGTGCGTGTGTACGTAAGTATGTATGTAAGCATGGCGTGCGTGCAGAAAAAAAAGAGATAGTTTTTAAATTATAAATAAAATCGAAAATTATAATTGATAATTCTATTTTCTTTTACATACTAAAATTTACTTTATCTCAGAATAAATTATTATAATTTTATAAACTGTAATTTACATAATTTATCATTAAAATTGTCTTAATAATTTACATATATATATATTTTTTTTAAAATTATTTTTAATTCCATATAAATTATCGGGATAAAGCATATCTATTATCGTTAATACTTAATATATATACACTTTCCGAAGCGGTTAATGAAGCGTAAAACAAATCATGAAATCAGTTATTGTTGCATGATGATCAATTGATGTTATTATTACGATAGCCACTCAAATATTAAGTGTAATCCGAGGTGTAATCTTAATTGCATAATCTGTTAGCCGATGTAAACACAGTGATGTAACAATTGTATTGGCTAAACAAAATGACAATTATTGTGGTAGTGGTAATTAGTGGACAGTAATGGGATAATAAGATTAGACAGTATTGATAGGTTTTATTATTATTGTTCAATTGCCATTAGGCAGATTTAAAAATGAAACTGACGTCATTAGCGGTCTAATATGATTAATTGTAATTTCTAATTTGACTTCGCGATAAGGGCTCTTACAGACGAGCAACTTTGTAGCGCCACAATTGAAAGCGCCGATTCGTTCATACGGAGCTATTTTCTGACTAACGCATTTTCTGACTTCGCAGCGCTCCTCTGTCATGCCACGAATTCAGCCATTTGAACGCATCCATAACGTTTCTGGTCACGCCGCGAATTGGCCCACATGAATATATTCGCGACACTTTTCTGTAACGCCGAAAATAGTTCCGTGTGAACGGGTCGGCGCTTTCAATTGTGGCACTAAAGTTGCTCGTCTGTGGGAGCCCTTATAACTACCACGCTCATTTCGAAGCATTAAATTCTTTGGCATTATTTGCACTCTTTGCTCTTAAGGCCGCAGCACACACTCTTGCATAACGCATAACGCATAGTGCGAATCAACTAATCAGAATCTTTCCCTTCCCCACATTCCATGAAAAACAAGAACTGTGATTGGTTGATTCCTTTATGCACTATGCATTATGCGTTATGCAAGAGTGTGTGCTGCGGTCTTTACTCTTTTCAACATCTAGATATCAAGCGACGCGGTAGCATCGCAACGCTAAGCACATAAAAATATGAAACGGGCGACTCGACTGTTTGATGCGTAAACATCATTCAATATTAATTTTTTTAATTACTTTCTTATTCAAATTTTATTTAAATAAACTTTTTATTATTAAAATTTTTTAAATCTAATTCATTAACTTTTGCTGTTGAATGTAACGTTTTTTTCGCGCAAGTACGTGCGTGTATGCATGTGCGTGCGTGTATGCGTGCGCGTATCTCCCTGTCGGCGCGGCGCTTGGCGTTGCCAAGGTGATGTGAAGCAGCATGGCGAAAATGCTATTCCCACCATGGGAGGTGATGGATATTTGATCCTACCCCTACTTGCGTGTGCATACGCACGATATCAATCCTGATATGCGCCGAAAATATATGCCATGTGTACATTGTGTACACGCACGCACTTAATAATTTACGCACTACAAGAACTTGGAAACAGTCAAAATTCAAATTTTCTTTTTTGATTAGGCGACGCGGTAGCGTCGCGACGACAAGTGCATAAAAATATGAAACAGGCCACTTGACTACTTGATGCGTAAACGTCATTGCGTAAATATGTTCGTGCCGCTAATAAATTCGCGACGAGATACTTACCACTAGGGCCGTGGTCCAATTCATGCTGACAACGCTCATGAACATCGTTTGTCTTCGTTTAACATTTGACAAACAATAAGGATGAAATGATTTTGAAGCGTTGTGAAAGTGAATCGGACCGCGGCCTAGCTTTTTCCGGAGCTTTGGCATCGACAAATTTTCGATTAAAATTACTCAGAAACTAAAACTGCAATAAAAAATCTCACACTTTTATTATATAATGCCAACGGGATTTTACGATTACGATCAATCCGAATAAAATTGATGTAGTCGGTATCGAGATTTGGAGATCGAGTCCCGAAAAGAAACCAGTTCAAATTTTCAACGTACATGTGTAATAATTATTGATGTACGGGGGACAGACAAACAGAGATAGAGTGCGTGAGAGAGAAAGAGGGAGGGGGAGAGAGAGAGAGAGAGAGAGAGAGAGAGAGAGAGATATGTTGGAGGACGCTAAACAATATCGGATGATGACGAACGACGCCAGCCGACGTCCAACAGATGTTTGCCGTCGAGGAAGTCGGTGTCCATACGTATTCGTCGTCAGAGAACCGAGTGTCCAAGTATCGTCTAATGCTCAATTTCTTCACTTCACTAGATAATCTGCGAATAACCTTATCCAGGAGAAGTCCCCTGTTGTAATCTGGGAGATATCTCTTGGATAAAGTTATCTAGAAGTGAAATTGGGCATAAATATTTGTCAACGAAAAACCAAGCGTCCAAGTGTTTTCCTCCGAGGAAGCGAGAATTCAGATCAACAAGGAAATGTCAAGCTGCCATTCTTAAAAGCGAGCGTATGTGTGTAGAGATGGGCGGTACACTGAGAAAAAAATGCTGTTGATTCAATTAAAGTCTATATTACGGGCTATCACTAACATAAGTGATTAATTCATGTATATTTTTATTGACATAAAGGCATAAATTATTGTTCCAATAATCAAGTCTTTATGTCAATAAAATATACGCATGAATTAATCATTTATGTTAGTGACAGCCCGTAATATAGACTTTAATTTAATCAACAGCATTTTTTTCTCAGTGTAGGGATGGAGTGAGAATGGAGTTGCGAATAACTCGCCAATTCCTCTGAAGAAGTGGGTGTCAAGGTTTTGTAATATATCAAGAGATTTGAGATAACAACAAATCACTCTTACCATCCTCACCCTCACTCCTTCCACCCTCTTACTCCATCCCTACCACCAATCCTTACACACATACGCTCGCGTGCGCAATTTTATATGAAAAAGTGGCATAAAAATCGAAGTAAATTTTTTATAATCATGTATTTTTCTTATAATCATCTATTTTAGATTCTACTAGATTTTGACGACTTCTCTCAGGTGTATCATGAAATGCGTAAGTTACCATATCTCTCACGTGCGAGATGTTTGATTATCACGATCCGAATGTTTGTTTCCGCGTGTGAAGCACCGTGTGCAAACAAAAATTGGATGTTTGCTGAAGTGTGATAACAACACAGGGTAGAAAATTCTTTTTCCTCTTTTCTTTGTTTGTATATCCCAAACGTGAGAGGCAAAAGGACTATCGAAAATCAACCCCAAAGAATGAAATGTCTATCACATCCACGTTGTTCCTGCAGATAATTCTGAGAACGGACGAGAAACTAAAATTGTATAGCGAATTCGATTGGATGCACTCGGTGCTCACTGATGCACATTAAAGCCGTCGTATACAAAATAACATAAAGATATGTTTATACATAAACATACACAGAAAAAAAAATTTAAGTAAATATTTTTTATAATAGTTCCAAGTAAATATTTACTAAATGTAAACATATATTTATTTGATACAAGAATCATTAATTTGATTTAAGTATTATTTTATTTTATTGAGCAAATATTTATTTGTAGACATTTCGGTCAAAATTTGATCATCATCAGTACAATAGCGCATCGATGTTACAATTAAATTAACTATGGTTGTCTTCTACGTATATCTTTACTTCGATATTATGATCTCGTTCAATGCACACACACACAAGTTAATATTTGATTATTCATATAGTACAGTCGTCTTGATACAGGATTGTTAAGATACTTTACAAGTAATACAAGTAACTGTGTAAAAGAAGCGAAAAGAAATAGAACAAAAACAGTGAATTAGAAAAAAGAGAAGGAGCAAAGATGAAGTGAGAGATGGCAGCAAGGAAATGAGAGAATGATGAAAAGGGAAGAGAAGAATAAAAGGACATATCGAGATGTGAGAACTAACTCATTTCCAGCTGTCGCATCTCTTATAGTTATAGATGACAAAAGAGCTTATTTTTTGACAAAAACGCTCAGGTTTCAGATGTCCTGATATCAGCAAAGAATGTCACATGAAGGTTTCGGCGTAATTGAAAGGAGCGTTGATAGATAGTTTTACAGAAAGGGATTGCTAGATTGGAGGGATATGCCCGGAATTGCGAGGCTTGACATAAGGATGGAGATAGCAAACGATATAGGATGAAATGCCAGTGGATGACATATGAAGCAACAATGAGATTTATTTTGTAATATTGTTTTCAAATTACCGAAATTTAAGACGTGTGACACTGTTGTGAAACGTCAAGTTACCGAAATTTAAATCTTGCGACAATATCCCGAAATATCAAACTATGTCTTAGCGCCGAGATACTATGTGTCTCTAGATTACCGAAATTAAAAAAACAATGCATCTTGAAAAGTTATAATTTTAAATATTAGAGCATAAGCAATATCAAAAAACAAATTTGTTGAAATATAAATTTTTTGAAATACCATCCGAGAGTGCAATAGAAGGACGCGACATGATTGTCCTTGCACAAATTAAATATGAAGCGTACACAGGCATTCATCAGCCGTTTAAACTTGAGCCTCTGTTGGCCTGTGAGTGCAAGGAGAAAATGAGAAAAGGCGCAAGAAAGTGGAGATAAGAGAGGAAAAGGTGAGAGAGCACGAAAGAGAAAAAGAGGAAGAAAAAGGTGAAAGGGAGGGAGGCAAATAATTTTTACTTTTTATTTTTATATATATTAACTTAATATTTAATAAATTCAAATTATTATTGTTATTATTATTATTATTATATCTCTTTGCAGAAGATTTTTAAAATTTATATTCTTTCAGTTTCAAAAATTTGCAAAAAGCAGTGAAATACCTAAAAACTTTTTAAAAAAGAAAAAAATATATTCCAAGTGCATAAAAAGGATATCGAATATTACATTTTTCTTAGTCCAATAGTTTTTTTTTCGCCAAATTTTTTCTTCACTATAATCCAGTTGACCACTTTCAGTATCAGGAAAACATTACAATCGATGTATGTACACACGACTTATATTGACTTTTAGATATTTTATTATCGTCTGAACAAATTTTCAGTTTTAAATAATGTATAAAATTAAAAACTTTTACACACTCAATACCATTATTAACTTTAATAATAAGGTACTGCAGCTGTGTATTGATTATTATTATTTTATGATTGTAATTTACATAATTTATTATCAGAGCTTTATTATTAGTACGTAGTATTAATACCTTTCTGCTAAGAAAAAGTAGCATTAAATACCATATTAGATATAATACAGACTACATACATATTTCCTTCTTTTTCGTCAGAAACGTAAAAATGGAAAACAAAGTGATTTAATATTACCTTTATAAGATTATAAATTTATTAACATATTGACTTGTAAGAATACACTAAAGAACTATTTTCCAAATAATTGATTGGCCATTATTTAATTATTTCTACGATGTTCAACAGATTTGAATTAGAAGTCATGGAATAACGTAAATACCAGGGAAACATAACAAAATCGATGTATGTATACTCACAAGTATGCCTATATTGGCCATATTGATTCTATTTTACAAAGAATTTCCTCCTTTTGATTATAAATAAAACGACGGAAAGGTAAACTGCAATGTCGTGAAGTATATAAATACAGAGTTGTAATAAAAATAAACTGAAATTAATGGTACAATCTTATGTGTCTTGCGTGATGAGATACTTGGCTAATTGCATTTATTCCGGTTTTGATTAAGAGAAATGTAATATTTAATACCTGTTTTATGCACTTGGCGTATATTTTTTTTTTTTTTTTAAATATATTTATTTCGTATTAAGTACAAAATTTTTTAGAACAAATGTAACGAAGGAAAACGCATTCATGAAATATCTAAAAATTTAATTAGATCTAAAAATAATTTTTTTGGGTTGTCAAAGTAATTACATGTAAGACGCTTAAACTAAGATAACTGGACCCTATATGGTCTAATTTATCCTCGCTATTTATGGAATTACATGGTTAATTTCAATAAATGACACTAACAAGTCGCAGGCTGACTCGATTGCATCAATTTATTACTCAATTTATTCATTTTGTTATTTTAGTAAAACAAAATATTGAAATGTAATATTTCATAGGCGTGTAATTACTTTCTATAATTATTAAGAGATAATTATTAATTTTTCCGCTATAATCATTAATTTCAGTTCATTTTTATTACAACTCTGTATTTATACGTTATAATATTGTATTTAATTTATCTTTCTATCCTTTTATTTATAATCAAGAAAAGGAAACTCTTTGTAAGATAGAATTATATCCACCAATATGGCCAATCTAGGCATACTGAACATGAGTACATTGATTGTTATGTTTCCCTGATACTTGCGTTATTCCAGATCATGACTTTTAATTTAAATTTGCTAAACATCGTTGAAATAAATAAATTATGCGACTCTTAATTATGTACACATAAATATACATGTATGCATAATTAAGAGTCTCAAAGGTTTAATATTAAAATAATAAAAATTAGTCATATATGTATAAAAGTTTTGTCGAATACATAATTTAGCCAAATAGGATAATCAACAATAAATTTAATGATAATATATAAATATAGTTGAGTGTCAAAGATTTTTTACACTGATTTACTACAATTATTGTATGATCTGGTAATAATTAATATAGTAATAATTAATTCAATCTAAATCAATTCATTTTTGTGGTAAGTTTCAATATAAATTACGTCTATATTAACATTTATATTTAGTAAATAATAAACTAAGCCAAAAATGCATTTTCTTGCATTAAATTGTTTAACTCTATTATTTTAGGTATATTAACGACATATTGAATAGGAGCACTGAGAGAACTTATAGAAATGATTAACTCAAATTGAATACAATTTAACATTATGAATTTATCAGTGTAAATCTATTTATGTTATTAGATTTTTTCATTTAATACAAATAAAATTATTTAGAATGGTATTGATAATATTACTGGATTACATTTAATTACTATTTTTTTTATATATTATTTATAACTCTTCTAAACAAATGTATAAATGTCATTCACATAAAAAATAAGTGACATCTGCTTTCATTCTTAAGTAATTACATTAATTATGTTCTTGAGGAATCAATATTAACTCTCGAACAACGGACGTCGTAGTACTCACACGACGGATGCAGAGTTAAATGTGATCCAAGAGTAATATTGTTTTAAAACGTTTAAAAAACAGTTTTTTTATTATAATATGTAGTAAATTATTTCAAATATGTAGAAGGTGAAATAAAAACACATATTTATCATAGATATAAATATCCATTTATTCATTTTCTTCAAAGTTAAAAAGAGTAAACAACTCTAATTCGCGAGTCTCGCGAGACCCTACGTCTCGCCGGCGGAAGGTTGATATGTAAGATCATTTGCAAACATAAATGCATATTCATAAATGCATTTGAATATAATAATATGGACAATGGAGGTAATAATGAGTAATAATTAACCATCATGTAACAATTCTGTTCCAAACAGTATGTTTGTTCAAGATACACATTGTTAAATCTGTATACTAAATTTAATCAGATTTAAGCTGCCATTGCTCCTACTGATTATATCGTTACTTTATCAAAGAATTATAATGCCTATGAGAGCCGAACACTGGATGTCCGCGTGTAAAGAATTTATTCAATTAGTATATAATGTAACAATAGACGTTTCAATTCTACTGCGGATCCTTCTTAATATCGCAATAACAATCAATACAATACAATTAAAAATTGATAAGTCATCCAGCGGACATCCAGTGTTCGGCTCTCATAGGCATTATAATTCTTTGATTTATTCTTTGGAGTCCGTCAATCTTTTTTATCGCGTTATTTTATATTAAAATAAAATTAAACACTTTAAATTGCGTTAAATTTGACACTATATAATATTAAATTTAACCCAATTTAAACTGTTTAATTCCATTGTTTTAGTATAAAATAACGATATTTTGAATAGAGGAGTAGTGAGGCGACTCAAATTAGATTAAATTTGACACTATAAATTTAACAGTGCATACGACGTCTTTAATTTATCTGTTCCTAATGATATATATATATATATATATATATATCTGTACAAAAATTAATTCGTTAATAATCTTAATAATTTTTATTCATTGAGGTTTAAATAGTTAAATATAAATAAATTATTTAACACCGTGGCGTGGGCAATAAAATAATCCCGTGTAGATGATATATGTTGTAAACATGAGCGCGTATTCATTAGCGGGTGTAGTAAGAGATATCATTAAATGCTTCTTAGACGGTGTCAACAAGAGTCATGGTGAAAGAGAACGTCATACCACCCATCATTGATATTGTCGTTTTACGCAAAAATAACGGAATGAATGACGCGCAAAGTATTCTCGTTTTTTCTGCGTGATAAGTTCGTTTCCATTTTATTTTCAGGCGCTAATCTCTTGTGGAATAACATGTTGGAGCCGGTCGGAAATAAGACAGAAAAGGGATTGCCAGGGATACTAGAGAAAATAAACTGCCCTACAGAAAACGCACCCTATATTTTCACAAATATTAATTCGCGGCTTTTCCGAACGACTGGCAGGCAAGATGGAATTCTGTCTAACAAGAGTGATTAATCTACATTCTACATCATGTTACTTACATCTGTTTCGAAACAAATTATTGCGAAAGTTGCGAAAGAACTTAATCACGGTCATCACAGTGAGAGTATTAGGAAGTTCACACATTTATTATTGATTATTTGCGTAAAAAACTTTCAGATAAAAATAATATAAGTTATTACAAGAACGAAAAGAAGGACTTTTAATTTAAAAAGCAATAACGAGAGAATAAAGAGCACAAAAGAGTCAAATATAACGAAGCATTTTAAAACATAAAAAATCAAAAGAAAATATAATATGAATAATATAATATTCTATAATTGATTAAAATATAATTGATAAAAATAATATAAATGACATAAATATAATAACAATATAGTTATAAATGTAAATTAAGAATTTCTATCTATACATATTTGCATGATTGATGTTCGACTAATTAGCGTTTTATTACGTCATAGATAATTTTAAATGTACTTCTCATTTTCTTTGCGTATTTTTCAGAAGAATGTAATTGCAGGATCAAACGACACATGCATTTCGAGATATATTTATAAGCAAATATAATATGATATACAAAAAATTATTAACTAATTAAGTATCTAAAATTAAGTTAAAACTGAGAAAGATTTCGATAAAGAATACATTAACTTTTCCGGATAAATTTATAAAATATGTTATTATGTATATATTTTTTTTACATTGTATGTATTTTTGTACATAGCGTTTTAAACGCATTAAAAAAGATTTATATATATATATATATATGTGCTAAGATAAAAAATGATACAAAATTTATTTATGATTTTTTTTTCGAAACCACACAGTGTAGGATATTCCTACAATAATACAGTAGCATTACTGCTGTATGGGAGGAATCGCATTTCTGATCGTTCACTTAATTTGCATTCTTTTTTTTGAGGAAAACGTAATTTTGGATGGAATACCTCACAAAACTAGTTTGTAAAGTTCACGTAGTCTAGACTTTAAATAGAATGCTTATTACAACAAGCTCTAAAGTCCAGCATACATCTGCGAAATATCCGGTTAAGAAGCTTATTTAGAAAATTATCCATTTTGTGTATACATATTTTTGTAAAGTAACGATGTGTTTTCTTTACCCCAACTGATTCATCTCATTATTCTGTTCATAAAAGTATTAAGGTATGGTTATCAAAAAGTTAATAGTTCACGAGTTATTTAACATTTTATGTCAATATGTGCCAGAATAAAGTGTAAAATATCTCGTAAACTATTTTAAGGAGTCTTGGTTAGTTTGATTTGTTATATGAATCTTTTATCATCAGTGTTAGGTAGATTTTTTTATGTCCTATAACTTTGTTTTTATATATTTTTCACTAGACTTGATCGTTTTCGAGATATTTTAGCGTTTCCAGACTTTTTGAAAACCCTGTATATGTAGATCTTCCTAGTATTCTTATAGTATTTCATGATCCAACTTGTGTTAGATGTAAACAAACTATTAATTTTGAAATCCATCGTTTATTAGAAACGAAATGAATTTCTTTGCAGAGCATTTAAACGATCTATTTTATTATTTTTGGAAGATTTCCCAAGCTTTCCTGGATAAATAAGCTTTTTTTCACGAATGTACGGACTTCCAAAATGACAGCGAAAGGACACCGCGAGCCGGCATCACGTCCAATTACGTTTTCTCTCTCAATCTCTTTTCTCTTTCTGGTTTCTCCTATTTGATTTTCCAACTCATATATAGATTCACAGTACACGTGCAGAATTTCTCTCTCAATTATGTGCCTCGTGCTAAGAACAGAATATCGGAGTGCCCCCACTACTTTCTCCCTTCACGCTCCTTGTCACCACCGCGTTTCCAGTAATACGTAGGTGTACGCTTCGATGCGAGTGTGTACGCGCCGCGCGCCGAATACCAGGGGACACCTCACACCATTCTAGGACATCATCCCGCTCCGGCCGGCGAAAGCGAGTTCGAGAGAGAAGGAGCGAGCGCGCGGCTCCGGGAGGTGAACAAGGACGCAGCAACTGATGGTCGAACGTGTATGCGCGCGATTGGATACTATGCGAACACAAACTCGCGCGCTATATTTTTTTAATTTTATTTAACTTTTGTTTGACACGCATATTCATTTCGTGATTGAGCAACAGACATTTTTAAAACGTTTTTTTAAACATTTATTTAAAATGTTTGTAAAAATGTAAAAATAGTAACTAAATATTATTTAAAAAATAGTTTTTAATTGTGTGCTGATTGGGCACGTGAACGAATCCTTGGTTAGATAATCAACCTACTTTTAGAAAATTGACATACTTTTAATTGCCTGTTAAGCCCAATGTCCACGATGCTAGAAATCGGTCCGAGTTCTCGAATCGAGAAATGTGTAGCTAATCAACTTGCCGGTTTTTCGTAAAAACTGTAAGCTGATTGGTTAAACATTTCTCGATCCGAGGACTTGGATCGAGTTCTAGCATCGTGGACATTGGGCTTAAGTCAGGCTTTCAGTTTTCTTTATTCTCAAGGTCGACCCTGCCTTAAAAATAAAGTTGTCGTTTTCTTCTTCACTTTTTCACGATTACTCAATACTTCGAATGGAGGATTCAAGTTGATGAATTATTTAATCTCTCAATACTTTCAAAGTATCATTGAAAATTCATCAACCTTTCGGAGAGCCACTTTACTTATTTATATTTTCTTATCTTGTGCCAAATGTCGACTCTGCTGGTATCGATATAATATAATATGTACGCCGCCAGCTAACCAATACATCCTTCAATCTAATTACATTTAAGTTGATCCTAATTAACTTGGAACATTTGCACAATCGAAACGAAGTTATAAAATATGCGTACTTTTTACTCACACGACAATCGAATTACATACATACTTTTTCATACACTTTGAACAGAAATTATAGAATTGCTAAAAAAACAATAAATCAAATATATCAAATATATATAAATTGTACCAAACTATAAATCTTCTTATGAACAGAAATAATAAAATCTCAAGATTTCATGAGCTCCTGAAAGCCTTTTAAAAATATATTTAGAACATAAAACAATTTACGAGCGGTTTTACCATAATAATGCAACACGCCGCTCGAGAAAGCAAAACGAGATATTCAAGGCTGTAGCTGTTGCATGATCTTCGAAGAACTTGACCCTGGTTACGAGATACCGCCGATAACTAAGCTCAACCATCTACGTCTGGTGCGCGATTTCGTTACGAAATCGTTGGTCATTCACCTGCTTCAAGTCAAGTGTTTTATTGCTTAGAATGTCCTTCCTACCATTCATGACATATATATTCGATTAATTTATTATTACCGTTTAAGTTTCAAGGATATTTCCCAGACACATTTTCTTATTGTGTAATTCATATTTATAGTTTCGCTATATGAATCCAAATAATATATTATCTAAATTGTTTTATAGACTAAATAATTATTCGCGTGAAAATATGATTAGTTTTCTTATAGAGTAGAAGCGAAGATAACACACGATAAGCTGTAAACAAGAGCACGTAAAGCGATAGCATGTAAAAAGAGCAGGATCTGTTATATTACGCGTTATGTAACCTCTCGAGACTTCTTAAAGTTCACAGAGTTATCATCATTACGCATAAAAAGAATAGAGAATAATAATTATTTTTTATCTGTAATAGGTCAATAACGTTCAATCTATTATATAATTTCTTAGAATATAAGGCAATTCTAAGATTATATTCTATGTGATAATCGAAAGTTTGCGTTCTGATTACGTATAAAAATATACTACTAGTGTCACTAGTGCAGTAAGTAAATTCGACAAATAGTGTCCTTAGTAGTGTGGAGAATAGTGGGTGGAGAAAATTTCATTAAAATTTCATCAATAAAACTTCTACACTACTAAGGACAGAAAAGGATACTACTTGTCAAATTTATTTATTGCACTAGTAACACTAGTAGTATATTTTTATACGGGATTTATCTAAAATTATTTTTTTTATTTTCGCAATTTGAAATTAAGTTATTGCTTATTTATAATTACTAATAAAAATTGAAAACTTTTCAAAGCAGATTTTTGCTAAAAGATATCAATTGCAATTAGATCAAGGCATGAGATTTATAACGTATTTTTTTTAATCTGCTTGTAGTGCAGTAATATTATATAATATTATGTGCATTGCGGCAAGGCGTTAATATAAGTAGATGTAATCACGACCCCATCTTCGAGATCGTCCGGAAGAAATACTCCTATAGCCAGGCCCGTACCTCGGCCCGTACTGAGGAATTATGATACTCGGGGCAAGGGATCAAAAAGTCGCCTCCATCCCGGGTTCTATAGCTTCGATCGCGTTTGCTCTTTCACTACGCGAGATCACGATGAAGGCGGGGGATCCCATTTGTTTTTTTTTTGCTTTCTTATATCTTTTTTTTGTACATTTCAGTTTTTTATAATTTTTTTATATTTTTATTTATTTTTTATATTTTTTAAAATTAAGAGGACTCTTTAAGATTTTTTAAATTATAAAAAATCTGAACGCGCCAGACGCGCGTCGTGTCGGTCTATATTTCGATGTTCATCGACATTATGGCGCCCCCCTTCCC